TTTTTATTTTGAGAGAGAGAGAACATATGTACAAGCAGGGGATGGGTAGACAGAGAGGGAGAGAGAAGATCCCAAGCAGGCTCCATGATATCAGTACAGAGCCCAGCTCGGGGCTCAATCCCACGAGCCATGAGATCATGACCTGAACCAAAATCAAGAGTCTGCCACTTAACCGACTAAGCCACCCAGATGACCCTTGACAGCCATTATTCTTATAGGACACCTGGGAACTATATCCCCACAATCCCTCTGTGGGAAATAGTAAGTTTTACTTATTAAGTTCTGAAGGAAAAGAATTCCAGGTCAACACATCGGATCAAGTGACCAGAGCCTGGCAGGGAGCACATTTGTTGGGAGGACCAAAAGAGAAGGTATACACAGCATCCCCAGAGAGCTCCTAGCATGCCCAGGCCATATAGAATACCCTAAATAAATATCAGTCTCCTTTTCTGGCTCAGGGCTGCAGAAGCCAGAGATAGTGAGGAGATGAACTGTGGCTGCTATGCCCAGATACTTTCACTGTCAGCAAAGCAAAGCTAAAAATACAAAGCCTGGCCAACCGGTGCTGGAAATAATGAAGGCTTAATACAAAGGCTCTAATTATTCACCTCACATCCTCCAAACACTGGGAGTTGCTGAAGGAATGATATTACTGCCTGTTGATCTTTCTCTTCTCTGTGATGTACCGCACAAGAAAATTAGTAGCCGTGGAGAACAAATAAACGTGTGGCTGAGGTTTCATTAATGTGTTATCATTTGGTCCTAGAACCCAGGAGCACTACTGAAAGAAAGCTGAGACAGACACTTAACCCCTCGACCTGTTAGCCACTGTGCAGTGGCAGCAGGAACCACAGCTGAAAGCCACATGCATCTCACTCTTTTGTTCCTTGAGCCAGTGGTAGAGGAAGGATGCTGCAGTTGCCGGGGGCAGGGTGGGGGTGGGGTGTGGGTGGGGGGACAGGAAGCAGCTCTTTAAGATGGTTGGGAGTAGTTTCCACCAGAGAAGAAATCCAGGTTCCTAATTCCTGTTTCTGAGAGGTAAATCAGACCTAGGAATATCTACCAAAAACAACACTTCCTTGTTTTTTCTCCAGTGTAAAATTGAAGGACTGGAAAAGTAGACGGTCAGAACCACAGCTACTACCCCAGGCTGGGAGACAGCAGGAAAGGGGAGGAACTGGATTGGAGGGGCTGCCCCTTACAGAGGGACCCTCTCAAACAGTGGTGCCCTACTTCTGCTGCCCACCAGAACCCCCAGGGAGTGTTCCCAAATCCAAGACCCCACCCCAGACCAATTCCATGGGAATCTCTGGGTTGGACCTGGGCACTGGGATTTTTGAAAGCTCCCCTGTCATTCCAATGTGCAGCCAAAGCTGAGGACCTTTACTTTAAAACAAAACACTGGACTATCTCACCACCCCAAAGTGCTTCTTTCTCCACATCCAGGCTAAAATCTGGAGACAGGAAGGATAATACGTCAGCCACCCTTTGTGAGGGCCTTAGAGCTTTCCAAGCCTGGTATCTGAAGGTCTTGGGCTAAAGAACAGCTGCTTCTCAGCCATCCAAGTGTGTGCATTTCCTACTATCCTCTACTGTCTCCTGCCTGCTCCTTTAGCTCTCTTAGAGGACCCTCTGTTCAAGGTCCAGCTCAGGACTCACATTACCAATAATGGTGCTGCTACTGCTTTTCCTGTTACAAACAATATCTACTATTTATTGAGCACAAGTCATATTCCAGAAACTGTTCTGAGTCCTTTACAGGGTGTGCAGAAGTAGTTACGTGTTACTGTACAAGGGCTCGGTTAAAACTTGTTGGAAGGCTTCGTATTTATGGGGTGAGCTTCATGTACAAGACAGCTAATATTTGTGCCTAAGAGGCTGGCTGAATATAGATTCACAGAACACAAGAAAAAAGATAGTGAATAACTCAGTATTAGAAGAAAAACACCACTGAAGTTGAAATATAGGGGTGGAAAGTCTTTAAGTCACATTGACATTAGGGGATCCCGTAAAAATGAATAATGGTGAGTTGGCCTCACTGAATCAAATCTGTTAGATAACTGTACTGTGGTTGAAAGGAAACTGTCCCCTGTGTGTTTTGAGCTGCGTGATTCTTGAGTCACTGAACACACTGGCTTTTCCATGGGGCTTACATATATTGGGCCAGATTTTGTCTGTGGCTGAAGCCACAAAATGTATCAGGCAGAAACCGAAAGGATTCAATTAATTCAACAATTGAAAGATTGAATGAACGAGCAAAAAAATTTTGGTATAGTTTGAATCCCTTAGTTAGAAGTAACCATAGACCAGGAGGAATAAGAAGACCTGTGTGAGGGTCCTGCCTCCCACTCTGCTTTTTACACCAGGTAACGTGCGGGAACCTCAAGTCCTGTTTCTGGCCTTTGCATTTGCTGTTCCCTCTGCCTGGAACATTCTTCCCCATATATCAGCACAGCTAACTCTTCACTACTTTCAGGTGTTTGCTCATATGTTACCTCCTCTGTGAGATCATTCCTGGCCAACCTATCTAAAACTTCAATAGACTCTTTACATAGTACACATGCACATGCCCACACACACACACACACACACACACACACACACGCCCACACACGTGCATGTGCACACACACACCCACACACACATGCCCACATATGCACATGCACACACACACACACACACATACACACTTTCTACATGTTTTCCCTACCTTACTTTTTTCCCGTTAGTACTTATCACTGCCTAGTACCTTATACAGGTTATTTATTTGTTTTACCTCTTATTTATCCTCCTCTTTCCCCATTAACGTGTAAACTTCATGAAGGCAAATATTTTTGTGTGTTTTTTGTTCACTGATATGTGCCCAACACCCACAAAATGATGGCTGCGTTTCCAAAAAGAGATGCTCAATAAAAAATGTTGAACATGCCCATGAGTCTTGTATAAGTCTGGTGAGAGTCAGTGACCTGGTATTCATGAATGCTAAGTTAAAATTTTTATTTATTGCAATAATTCAGATATAATTTGTAAATCTGACCACATTCTGTTAACTTAAAACTGAGGTTAAGAACTTCCTCTAAGGTAATTATTGGTTTCACATAAGCTATTCACGGTACATCCTCTTTTGCAGAAATGTGATCGGGCAATTTACATTCAACACTCAGATAAGGCATCTGAACCCTGTGCAGACAATAAGACTATAAACTGACTGATTACAGAATTACACTTTGGTTTTCTAAACATGGCACTGCCTTTTCTCAGAAGAGCTCAAAAACAGGAAAAAAAGATTCAAAAAAGTGAAGTAAAACTTTATATATTTCCACTGGAATATTGGTTCCTTTATGTATTTTCTCTCCTAGAGTGCAGCAAAGAGATACCTGTAAAATGTCACAAGTTAGGTGCTCTCTGCTTTTACTAAAGCCCAAATCAAAGAATCCAAATAAAAGATCATACGTATCTTTACAGAATCATGTTCTAAACTATCTACCTATATGGCTTCCTAGAAACCATCTAGGAGGCTTTGAAGATGGGAGGGGTCAGCTGGATATTTTCACAGGTGAAGTTACTGATTCGTTTCCATAAAACTACAGCTAACTCTATTTATAATTATAGATACTTCACATGAAAAGTTAGGAGTTCACTGATAGTAGAAGAAAAATTATATAACTGGGTGGATTTAGAATCTAAAACAAGTTGGGTTTTACTCAGCAATAAATGACTACGTTGTGGTAATAGCTGAATTTCCATCGCTCATTTTCCCTAAAAACAGTATTTTCTAACTACATACTTTAGTCAAGCCTCTCTGTTCCCTACTTTCAAATGATAGACTACTCTGAAGCTGCTAATCAAGAGATTTTGGAAAAAAGATGCAAAAATAATGAAGAGCAGAGACAAAAATTTGGTTTATAAAATAAAAGCTTAAAAAATAGAGCTACATTATCCATAATTGCATGTAAGTAATTACAAAAATAGTAAATAACTGGAAGAGTAAAAAATAAACTATTTAATATATCAACCATTTTCACTAATGTAAATCTATTTAGATTAATTTTCTATGACTATAGCCCTATTGGTGGTACTTGACTGCACTAATATAAACTATAAAAGGGAACAGATTAATACAGATGGTAATTTTTCCTTTTCAGTTCAAGCTGAATCTTTCCCACTTCATCCTTTTTAAATTGCATTAGAGTCAAGAAAAAAGTGTCTACTGAGACAACAGCTGTCACTGTACTTATGTCCCATTGGTAATAATGCCGGCTCCCTTTGGTAACTATAGGAAGTCATACTCATTACTATTATTTCAAAGAGAATGGACTGTTTTTTGCAATGTAATTACTGCATTCAGGGCAATGGTGTAAATTTGAATATTTTGTACAAAATTTATCTAGTTTTTTTTTTTTTTTTGAGAGAAGAATAATAGTTCTGATATTTAGAGGAATACTACTTATCCATAGAAATGAAACTGCAAACCCTGTAACAAACTAATGTCGGGCTGGGGTGGGGGGGTTACTCTCAGGCTGCCATGTGATCCTGACAATCATATGAGTTGTAGAGGTGAGAAATCCTAGCCCCCCACGAGGAGGTGGGGGGGGTAATCTGTTTAAGTTCTACATTTCCTCTAGGTTTGCATTTCCTTTAGATTATCTGCCTAAATGATGCTTTTCTATGAAGGCAGCTCCTTGATCTCAGACAGGGGTCTGAAGTACCACGCAGACAGCAAACTACCCTATGCCATTTTATCCAAGATGTGGCAAATTAAAGATTTATCCAAGAGTCCTATTTCTGGCAGAGCTTGGAAACCCTGTGATCCAAAGTATCTTCTCAGGACAAGGATGGGCATCCTAGAGGAGCAGACCACATGCCGTTGGGTTCTGCAAGCCACCCTTGACAAGCAGCATAGTGAGGTTGCCAGCAGGAGGCAGAGGAGACAATGCTAAAGCCAGTTTATTTCAGCAAAGACTGTGACATTTCCAACAGCAATCTGAGTTTTGACAAAGTTGTAATAGGAGAGGATTTGTCCCTAGATAGAGGGTCAGAAAGGTTAATCACGAACATTCCTTCCAACTGTAAGACACAAAAATCCTTGACTCAAGAAACATCTAAGTGTCTGTTTCCCCAAAAACGAAGTAACTTTCAACAAATATCCCTTTTGCACCACAGCTACCATATTTGTGAGGATTCCAACACAGCAGTAATTCCTACCGCAACATAATGAGGGTAAAAATTATAACTAAGGCTGTAACTTACATAATGGAGCTTGAATTTGCACTCGTCCTCAATTTCATCTGCGCTGTCTTCGTCAGAAACTTCCCCTTCCTCTGCATCATCCCCAAGGTGATAAGGCAACTTCTTGCCCTGAAATGGAGCAACACGCCCAATTTAAAAATGAAAACACTGTGCATGTCTGATGTTTGGGGCAGGTTCACTTGATTGGGAGCATCTAGAGCATGTGCCTACATCCTAGCTCCGAGAGGCTGCAAAAGCCAAAATGTCTAGCATGTTCAGCCACTAGGAGGGGATTCCTTAAAATATAGGGATGGGGGGTAGGGGCGGCTGGCTGGCTCAGTCGGTTAAGCGCCCAACTTTTGGTTTCAGCTCAGGTCATGATCTCACAGTTTCGTGGGTTCAAGCCCCACTTTGGGCTCTACACTGGCAGCGTGGAGGTTGCTTGGGATTCTCTCTTTCCCTCTCTCTCTGCCCCTCCCCTGCTCATGCACTGTCTCTGTCTCTCTCAAAATAAATAAATAAACTTAAAAAACAACAAAAACAACATAGGGATGGGGAGAACTCCTTAAACATGGAAGGATGTTCATATGCTTGGCAGCCAAAAATAATGATAAATCTCTAAACATCCCAGACTGCTAACCAGGCTGATCTTCTCTAAACTCAAGCCCCAGTGACTTCTCATTCTCCCACTCTCCACACCACTATTGGCCCTCTTCAACATGCTGGATTTTCTCCTCACCCACTTCCTCTATGCACAGGACCACCACCATAGTCAGGTTTTCAGAGAACTCTCCATCCCTATTTTCCTTTTTTTTTTTTAATTTTTTTTAATGTTTATTTATTTTTGAGACAGAGAGAGACAGAGCATGAACGGGGGAGGGGCAGAGAGAGAGGGAGACACAGAATCGGAAGCAGGCTCCAGGCTCTGAGCCATCAGCCCAGAGCCCGACGCGGGGCTCGAACTCACGGACAGCGAGATCATGACCTGAGCTGAAGTCGGACGCTTAACCGACTGAGCCACCCAGGCGCCCCTCCATCCCTATTTTCCTATACCTTCCCTGATACCCAGAGCTCTTGACCTTGGGTCCTTAGCACAGTGATAGTTTCAAAGCTGATTAAATCATTTATATAATGAACACAAAATCTTTATTAAGACTCTAAAGTCTTGGGGTTTGGATACTTAAACATTTTCTTCAACGTATAGAGGATCATTTATAGGATTGAAAGGGTAAGATTTAATTTCCCTTTGTAATGATATGTATTTTACTCCTTATTTGTATGTGCTATCTGCAAAGTGAAAACTACACTCTTTCCATTTCACACAAACATTTGTAGAGATAGATATAGATACATGCATACATACGTATATATAATTCTAAGTAAATACGGCGAACATTTTTTAACTTTCTCTGTATCATTAATAACAAAACAGCTCACAATTAAAGCATTTATGTCTATATATTGATTTAAGTCTTTTCTGATACAGAAGACTTCTATAAAATGAATTTATTTTTCTTTATTTTAGAGGGCACTATAGAGTAGCTATGTTAATATAGCAGCATCAGAAATAAAGTACTCAACCTAATGGTGACCAGACGTGTTCAGGAACACAAGACATCAAGTTAATGACCTCCTTCATCACCAACTACTTATTCAGAGTCAACTCTGTTTTGGGTACAATGACAGATAACCAAGATGGATCTGTCCACAAGACATTTGAAATATAATGACAGCAATTCCCTCTTTGAAATAGAACAAAGCCAACATATTTTTTAAATGTTCAGCAGAACAGAGCTACCAAATGTGAGAAGTAACATCTGCAAGTAAGGAGTAATAATCCTTGAATGATATAAACAGTTCTGATACCACAAGATGGAAACAAAAGTGTAACCGTGATGGGCAAGCAGTGATGAGCTAGTAGGGAGCTGCACCAAGCTTTAGTTCCCCTTCATTTAAATGTGGTGGCAGGTGGGAGAACACATTACTATGGATGCTCAGAGCATCCATAGGTAACCTAATTTTCCTTCCTTAAAATTGAATTAAAAGATATGAGGGCTATATTTTTTACCAACTCTTCCATATTTCTGGTTCTCAAAAGTAATTTATCCAGGCAAATAGGAAGAAACGCAATGCAACAGAACATTGTTTCTTGATGCTTCTTATCAACAGTTACATCTAAGGAAAATTATAGAATAAATTAAGGCAGAACTTAAGGTGACTTAAGGAACTTAGCTGTGGTCCAGTAGATACAAACAAAGAATGTACAGTTGTCTTTTAGGGATCTCTTTCCGATTTACATACTATTTCATGCAGGAGTTATCAAGAATTAGATCAATTGGTCCATGATACATACAAGTATTGCTAGAGACTGGAATGGTAGCTACCATTCAGCTCTAAGCTATATGACCCAAGAAGAATGGTAACGACTCTGTGATTCACATCTGTAAAAAGTAAGAAGCTTGGACCAAATAGTTACAGTTTCTTTCGGCAATAAGAATCTACGGAAAATTACTGTTTGTTATTATTTTTGTTCAAAAGCCAACTTTTGTTTACTTTTCAGGAGATATGTGTGTATACATATACTTGGAAAGCATGTGTATTATAATTATAATAATACACAACTTGTCAATCTCTAAAGTGTTAATTGGCCACTAAATGGTGCCTTTCGGTTCAAAGGTGGCTCTGATGACAAAGGTACGTAGGAAAACCCATTCCTTTATTTTTGCTTCAAATGGAAATGCATTGGTCCATAGATCTAGGAGATCTTCTTAAAGTCTGAAGAACATTGCTACTAGCGAATGAACCTTAGATGCCTTCATATGCTCGCAGTCCACACTGCTGCCACTCCTCCCACTGAGTGCCCCAGATCAGCTGGTGCATCCTGGTGCCCATAAGCCCTAGGACATTCTATGACAAATGACCCAAAGTCCAATTATGCAGAAGGGACTCCGTGCATATCAAATGTCTTAAATTCCACTGTCCAAAAGGGAAGCATTTCAATCAAATGGACTTACTCTGCGTTTAACCTTCTGACTGCTTGCTAAAGACTACAGGAAACATGGAAACATTTACAAGGCTACTAAGGTGACATTTAGCTTTCTAACCCAGCAATCAGTTTTTACCACAAGAGTTTGCTTTAGCAAGATTTCAGGAAAATTGACCTTAATGTTATCTCTTACATTATTTGGAGCTTTTATTCGAAATGCTGTCCCACATACAAATGCCTGACAATACCTCTTTGATGAATTCAGTCTGTAATTTTCATTTAACTGATAGAAAAATGGGTTTTGACCTATTCCAAAGATGAATATTTCACATCTTTCCTATTTGCTGCCCTCCGTTAGAGACCCTATTAAACTATTCCTAGGAAATTACATTGTTTGACTTTCCCATGCCTCCTTTGTGATATCTGGTTTTTTGGTACACATTGCTGTTAAGTAAAATATGACCCGATTTGAATATTAATACCCTCTTGCTCTTCCTTAGGTTTTTGGTATCAAAATAATACAACTATCCAAGGTGGATTTATTCCAAACACGCAAAATTAACAGGAATTAAGTAAAATCACAAAGTCAGCCCTGTGAGATTTCAAGTAACTGTTTTTCTGGCTATTCTTCGTATTAATAACACTCATTGCAGGTAGTAAATTTCCTCCCTCAGAAAATCTGTTCATAAAATGTCATTCTCTTCACCTACTGCTCCTTCACATACACATGAGTCCTGTGGGGCATTATGTCTGTGCCTATGCTCTGCTTTCAAGTGAGCTCTTCTCACTTACATAACCAAGGGCTGATCAACCGTAAAGACTGTTTGTTTTTTCCTTTTTCCCCCCTTCTTTTTTTTTTTTTGACAGTTATTGGAGCTTGAAATGGGAGAGAAGAATCTGAAAGAAATGCTTTCAGATGTGGACACAAGGAGGCTTCTCTCGCTCCTATGCACATACTTCTGGCCAGTGTAAACTATAACAGACTCAAATATTAAACATTTGGCTTACAGTATTGATATTCTCACTTCACAAAAACAACTCCCGAAATATGTGGTTAGTCAATAACAAGCTTTTTCTTAAGGTATAACTATTAATAAATTGGAACAAGATGCAAACGCAAATCTAGGCGACCCTTCATGGATTAACTCTACTATTCTACTGATAAACCAGTTTTTAGTCCTTAAGGGAGGGAGGGCTTAGTTGGTCATTAATGCCTTTCATTGCATTTCTGGAGGTAATTACCTTCACTAGGATTTTGCCTTTCAAACTCTGAGGGCTTGGAAGCTGTTTGGTCTCTCCTGTGTCTACAGATGACAGGTCCAGCTTGTCTCCAAATATTCCTTTCAGGTACTGAGCAATCTTCCTCTGTTGCTGGACACTGCAGTGATTCTCAATGGACAGTATGACCGGGAACCTAAGAGGATAGCGACATATTCTAAAGGCATCAAGTATAGGCAACTCACAGGGGTGTTTGAAAATCACTCTATATATATTCACTATGCTCTTACAGTCCTAATGACAGTATTTGTGAAAGCAGTACTGACTAAAATGAGAAAGATGAAAGGAGCAGTTTTTAAGAAACTCCTCTAACCAAATATATTTTGCCAGGCATGATGGCTGAGCAGAATACCCATCATGTGGGATGCCCTCATTTAATATTTTGCTTTTAAAAAAGGTACATACATTATGTCTCTTTTAAAAGAAAAAGAGAGAAAATTTTAAGAGAGATAAGCCTAAATAAAAAAACTCATATAATGTAATTTTGTCTTATCTATTCAAAAATCTAAAGGAGGAAAGAACATATAATCTTCAATAAATGGTGCTGAGAAAAACTGAACAGCAACATGCAAAAGAATGAAACTGGACCACTTTGTTATAGTACACCCAAAAATAAACTCAAAATGGATTAAAGATCTAAATGTGAGACCTCAGACTACAAAAATCCTAGAAGAGAACACAGGCAGCAATTTTTCTGACATCACCCATATCAACATTTTTCTAGATAGGTCTCCAAAGGCAAGGGAAATAAAAGTAAAAATAAACAATTAGAACTACATCAAAATAAAAAGCTTTTCTGCATGAAAGAAACCATCAACAAACAAAACAAAAAGGTATCCTACGCTAAATGGGAGAAGATGTTTGCAAATGATATATCCAAAAAGGAGTTAATAACCAAAATATAAAAACACCAATCCCCCAAAAATCCAATTAAAAATGGGCAAAGGACCTGAATAGACATTTTTCCAAAAAAAAAAGATGTAAGATGGCCAACAAACACATAAAAAGATGCTCAACATCACTCGTCATCAGGAAAATGCACATCAAAACTACATAAGATATCATCTTAACATCTGTCAGAATGGCTAAAATCAAAAACACAAGAAATAACAAGTGTCGATATAGAGGTATATGCAGTTGGTGGGAATGTAAGCTGGTACAGCCACTGTGGACAACAGTATGAAGATTCAAAAAAATAAAAATAGAAATATCATATGATCTAATAATTCCACTACAGGCCTTCACCCCCCAAAACCCCAAAACACTAATTTGAAAACAAACACACCCGTATGTTATTGTAGCATTATTTACAATAGCCAATATATGGAAGCAACCTAAGTGTCCACTGATAGACAGATGGAACAGGAAGATGTGGTATACACACACACACACACACACACACACACACACACACACACGCACGCACACACACTAGAATATCACACAGACATAACAAAGGATGAGGTTGTGCCATTTGCAATAACATGGATGGACCTAAAGGATATTATGCTAAGTGAAATAAGACTGAGAAAGGCAAATTCCAAACGATTTCACTCATATATGGAACCTAAGAAAAAAAAGCACAAATGAATAAACAAACAAAAAGCAGAATCAGGCCTATAAATACAGAGAACAAAGTGATGGTAGCTAGAGGGGAGGAGGGCGAGGGGTTGGGCAACATGGACAAAGGGTAGTGGGAGATGCATGCTTCCAGTTATGAATTGAGTAAGTCATGGGAATAAAAGGCACAATAAAAGGAACACAGTCAATGATATTGTAATAATGTTGTATGGTGACGTTGGTAGCTACACTTGTGGTGAGCATAGCATAATGTGTAAACTTGTCCAATCACCGTGTTGTACACCTGAAATTAATGTAACATTGTGTGTCAACTATACCAAAAAAAAATAAACTTCAGTATGAAAACTTAAATAAATTCAATTTTCAAAAAAAGTCTATAAGCGTCTAAGAGACCACAGTGTATCATTATGTGCTGACATTTATTCTAAAAATATATTATCAGCCCCCAGTTTGAAAACTACTATTGAGGATAAAATATCATAATGGAATTTTGTGATTTATAGCATCCTATGCCAAGCATTTTAAAATCATTTGTATAAAATTATATACTAGTCTTTACTTTCAGAAAGGAAAAAAAGTCAAGCATTCACTCCCCACAAGCCCTCAGATTTCTGTGCAGAGTATGTGAAACCCAAGCAGACTGATTACCAAAGACAGCCTGGGGAGCTGGTGGCCAAGGCAGAAAGGGAACAAGGACTAATTACTGATCTTACTCTTCTTCTGATTTTTTTTCTTCAGAGTAAGAAATTATTTCAAAATTAGCTTGTTGTGTTTTTTTTTCTACTTTTCTATCACATATCTTCTGAAGTAATAGGCAATATCTATTTTTCAGAGTACAAAAACCAATATTTAAATTGGCTAATACATCTATGTAGAGAAAAACAATTTATTTCTGGGCTTGTCTGACAATAGCACATGCTCCACAGAAAGGGTTATGACCTCCTGAAACTACATTCTTTCCCCATTAGTAAAACCTGATGCCAAAGGTACTATTGGAGATGAACCTTTGTGACTGGAGTGGGTTATCTTGCTATAATCTGTTTGCTCTTGCAACCACATAGGTTTTATCCCAGAGTGTTAGAGAGAAAAAGAACAACAAACTAGCAAGAGATTGTCTATGCAATCACATCAAGGGGTTCTAACAACGAATTTTTAAATTAGCAATCTGTTTGGGGCCCCGAGTGGCTCAGTTGGTTAAGTATCTGACTCTTGATTTTGGCTCGGGTCACGATCTCATGGTTCATGGGTTCGAGCCCTGCATCGGGCTCTGTACTGACAGTGCAAGCCTACTTAAGATTCGCTCTCTCTCTCTAAATAAATACACTTAAAAAATAAGTAAATAAATTATTAATTTGTTTATAAAAAGCCTATTAGTGTTTAATGATGCTAAACATAAAGCAGTGCTTCTCAACAGGGGAGGGGGGAGACTGTACGGCACCCTTCCCAGACAGATAATTTGTCAACATCTGAAGACATTTTTGGTGGTCACAATATGAGGGAGGGAAGGAGTACTACTGACATTTAGTGTCTAGAAGCCAAGGATGCTGCTAACTATCTTACAATAAACAAGACAGTTCCCCATGACAAGGAATTACATGGTCCAAAATGCCAATAGTGCCAAGGTTGAGAAATCCTGGTATAAGGAAGGCCTAAGAAAGGAAAGAAAAAGACTGAACTTTCAAAATGTGCTCAACAAGCATAGTAACTTTTAATGTGAAGTGCTTTTCTAAGTATTCCCAAACTTGAAGCACTGTCAAGTTATCAAAGGGTCCTCCAAGGTAGCACATCTTTTCAACACCTAACTTCACATTTTGGAAAATAATGGCAAAATCACTTCATCAACTTCGCTAAATCTAGTAGCAATCAAGGTAGAAGAGACCCATCAGAATTCAGTACTTGGGATTCTTCCATATAGCAGATACCATAAACTAAACCTGCCATGCAGCAAGTGTCTCTCATTAAAACGGCATTTTTAACCTCATGGTTAATAAATAAGAAGACCAAATATTAAAAATTCTCAAGGCCACTAAATTCTATAAAATTGATTTTATGCAACTGTAATTTTCTTTTTATTCAAAAATCATTTCTTAGCTTTACGGTATATTGCAGGCATCTGCTAGGCAATAAAGAATGAATAAGACAGGGGCGCCTGGGTGGCTCAGTCAGTTGAGTGTCCGACTTTGGCTCAGGTCATGATCTCCTGGTTTGTGGGTTCGAACTCCGCGTCAGGCTCTGTGCTGACAGCTCAGAGCCTGGAGCCTGCTTCGGATTCTGTGTATCCTTCTCTCTCTGCCCCTCCCCAACTTGTGCTCTGTCTCTCTATGTCTTTCAAAAAAATAAATAAATGTAAAAAAAATTTTTTTTAATAAAAATAACCATTAAAAAATCTTTAAAAGAATAAAAAAGAATGAATAAGACAGAGCCCCATATTTTCAATGAGGTCTTGGTCTTAAAGACTCAAAAGAAGGAAGGAAGCCAACAATTGTAAGAGGGTGCTATATAGATATAACAGAAATATGCTCAGAATGCTAAAAGCAGGGAAAGGAGCATTTAAATCAGATAGTGTAACAGTAAGTTTGCCAGAGGGACAATGTTTAAGCAGTCTTGTAGAATGAATAAGAATTAGACACGTGGAGTAATGAGGAAGAGTGTGCCGGGCAGAGGGAACAGCATATGCAAGGTAGGGAGATGTGAAAGAACTGGGGTCACCAGAGGATCTGAAAGACAAAGGAAGAACCCTCCATCTCTGTGGAGCATTGGTGGAAGAAGACCCTGGAAGAGAAAGAAGAGGCCAAACCTTAAAGGGCACATAAGACATGACTGTGTACTACAGGGAGCTTTTGAAGGACTTTAAGAATACAACATCATGCTTATAGTTTCAGAAAGGAAAACACTGCACCAGTGAGGACAATGGCCCAAAGAGAAATGAAGAGAAGGCAATGGAGTCAAAAGATAATTTAGAAAGTATAACTGACAAGAATTGGCTGAATTTAGAATGACTTAGTTTTTGGCTAAAGACACTGACTAGGTAAGTGCTACTCCTAACTAAAAGGAAATAAAGAGGGGCGGCTGGGTGGCGCAATTGGTTAAGTGTCCAACTTCGGCTCAGGTCATGATCTCACGGTTTATGGGTTCAAGCCATGCATTGGGCTCTGCGCTGACAGTTCAGAGCCTGGAGCCTGCTTCGTACTCTGTGCTTCCCTCTCTCTCTGCTCCTCACCTGCTCTCTTTCTCTCTCTCTCTCTCTCTCTCAAAAATAAATAAACATTAAAAAAATTGGAAGGAAACAGAGCAAGAGAAGGTTCGGCAGAATGAAATGCTGACTTTGGCTTGAGATGTGAGCTCCATGGTGGTAGGAGTCATCTCTTTTGTTCAGGGTCGTGCCTCTCTGCACCTGTTACAGTATGCCTGACTTAGAGTAGGCACCATTAAATATCTGAATAAATAATGACATTTGTTGATTCCGAGGTATGTATGGGACACTCAGATGAATTTTTACTAAGAATTTTGCTACACACCTCTGAAACACAGGTAAAAGTTCTGGACATATAATTAAACAACCCAAAAGGAGAACAATGGCAACAACTTAAGAAATAGTGACTAAAGGAATGAGGAAATGGAATAGAAGACCATAGGCCAAACAAACAAAACCAAGAGAGAAGCAATGACAGCATAGAGGAGAATGTTATAATAGAAGCCCCAAAAAAGCAACTATTGAGGAGAAAAGAGTCACCATTATCCAATGCCAAGGAAGAGTCAAGTAACACAAGGATGCTAGACACTTCGGTATGTATAGGACCATCCAGCAAGTCTGAAAACCTAGCTGTTACTATTTTACTGTATGTTAATATAATATCAACAAACTATTTATCATGTACAGTAACCTGTGTTTCCAAACTTTACGAACACTCTATAGAAATTTTCAGGTCAGTCTTTGCAAGAACATGCTTCAAGGAAGCAATGTCTTGAGAGAGAATGGAGTACATAATAAATGGAGCATGAGAAAGTACAAACATGGAGCCCTTATTATTTGCTCACAATGTTTTGTTGGCAAGGAGGGAGAGAATGAGGGGAGTAGAAAGGGAGATGAAGACTCAAGGCAAGATTGTGTGGTGTTGTAGTCATGGTACATCAGCCAATGCTCTCTATGCTGGCTTAGCTCCCAACTGTCGCTATACTTACTCATTCTTCACAAAGGCATGCCTGTTGATGGTCTCCACAACATCTCTGAAGAGAATTTTTGAAGTGAGAGTATAACCGTGGTGTACTACTGGCTCTCCATCTGGGCCATCCCAACAGTCAACTGTCAAAAACAGAACTTCACATCAACAACACAAAGTTTCTGGTTTTGCTAATATTGCTGGTAATATCAGACAAACATTATTTTACTATTTGAGATTATGCCTATTATGATGATGACAAAGATGTCAAACGGAGAGATGGGTGTTCTGGCATATTTATCAGAATAAGGAATTAAAGATAATAAGTGATTTGTCTCTGAGTACTTACAGTTAACAAAGATGTCACATTCACAAGCAGCCCAGCATTTACCAAGAATGCTCATTAGAAATCGATCTAAATCCAATCAAGCGGCCCAAGGGTAGTGATATTTCTTAACAGGTTGCTCCGCTAATTTCACTTCTTCCTCTTCAGTTTACTAAGGTCTTTTAAGAAGCTGCAGTGGCCCTCCCAAATCGATAACAGGGTTTTTCATTACTCCTCACTTAAACTCATTAGGTTTCTATTACATTTTCATTTTATTAATTCCACAATAGCTCTAAAATAACACTGACTTCCTAAGTTCAAATCCTCAGGCCCTGCCAAGATTTATATCAACATGGGCAAATGATTTAATCATTTAAAAACTTGCTTTCCTCACCTATAAAAGAAAATCATGGTAGCATTTGCATCATAAGTTTGAGTGATGACTAAGTATATGTAAAGCTGCTTATAATACTGCATGATACATAGTAATTATGATTATTATTGATAATACTGTTATTGTTATATGTATAGACAGCTTCACTGGCTGGCTCCCAGCTAGAGAAAGACAACCACTTCCTCACCATCTACCCTTAGAGTTTGTCTTCTTTGTTTTACACTCTACCACCAGACTAGATTCTCAAAACAATGGTTTCACCACGTTGTTCCTTTGCTCAGAAGACTACTCAGTGCATAACACAGCATCCAACACATACACAGTAGGTACTCAGTAGACACAGGCTGAATTTATTAATATCCTATAGCTCCTCCTGCCTGCTTAACCCCAAGGTCCTTATCTCTTGTACTACAGACTAGCTAGCCATTCACTCAGTCTGTATCCACTTTCACCCTGGCACACAGCTGGACTACACTGCCCAGCCTTCCCTTGCAGCAGGGTGTGGCCATCGAATTGTGGGCAGAGATTATGTGCACCATTTCCAGGTCTGGTCTGTGAAAACTTTCCCTACAAAACCATCCAGACTCTCAGCTTCTGCTATCACTGCAGAAGACATGTGCTGAAGATGGCATGGCCACAAGATGGAAAGAGCCTAGACCCCTAAATCATTGCTTGAAAGACTCACCTGTAAGGAACACCTATTTTGGACTTTACATAAGCAAGAAATAAACTTCCTCTGTTTCAAGGAACAGAGATTTTAGATTTAATTCTTAAAGGAACCACAGTTGCCTTAATTAATATCGTAGCTTCTGTCTGACAAATCGATCTTATTTTCTCTTACCCCTGAACTCACAGACTTGTTCTTCCATTACACACGTTTCCTCACATAGGAAACCTCCATGATTTTGTGTCTTTCATTTAAGGTCAACCAAAATGCCCTCTTTCACTTTCCTTATCTAAATCCCAGTCAAGGCTAAGCTAGGAACCCCCCAAAGAATCCTGCCAGCTCTCATGACATTGCCCTTCCTTGTGGTAGTCTGGTAGCTCTGGTTGCCAGAGCCGAGAGAAATCAAAAATCTAGACATTACTCCTGTGAATTTTCCCAATTTTTAAATATCAGCAATTAATCTAGTTTTTAAATTACAATATGAGCCAAACATTCTCTGGCTAATGGAATGCCAGTTAAAATTCTGACTTTTAATTAGGGCCAGACATTTCATGACTACACCTGTTCTTTATTTTAGTACCTTCCTCATATGTGTGCTTTGTATACTATGTCAGGAGATGCTATGTTTATTTATTCTAATACTTTCAAATTGTTCACCATTACCATAATGTGATTCGATGGTAAATTTTATGTGTCAACTTTGCTAGACTATGGTGCCCACTTATTTGATCAAGTACCAGTCTAGATGTTGCTGTAAAGATATTTGTTAGATGCGATTAACATTTAAATCAATAGATTTTGGGTAAAGTAGATTATGCTCCATGAGGTGGGTGGGCCCCATCAATTAGTTGAAGGTCTGAAGAGTAAAGACTCCCATTTCCTGAAAAAGGAATTCTTCTAAAGACTGTAATGTAAGTCTCCAAGCTGCTGGCATGCTATACAGATTTCAGACTAGGAAATCCCCATGATCACGTAAGCGAATTTATTAAAATCATTCTTCCTCTCTCTCATATATAAGAGAGAGATCCCATTAGTTCTGTTCCCTAGTACAGTCACCTATATTACAATTAAACATTGGCTATAAATTATCCTTAGGGGAAAAAATGAAAAAGGTAAAAGGAGAAAAAAATTTTCAAGGTTAACACCACAGGAATATAAAAAACAAATTTTAAGAATAAAGATGCCATTGAGAAGATCAAAGGCGGGGCGCCTGGGTGGCGCAGTCGGTTAAGCGTCCGACTTCAGCCAGGTCACGATCTCGCGGTCCGTGAGTTCGAGCCCCGCGTCGGGCTCTGGGCTGATGGCTCAGAGCCTGGAGCCTGTTTCCGATTCTGTGTCCCCCTCTCTCTCTGCCCCTCCCCCGTTCATGCTCTGTCTCTCTCTATCCCAAAGGTAAATGAACGTTGAAAAAAAAAATTTAAAAAAAAAAAAAAAAAAAGAAGAAGATCAAAGGCTTGGAGATACTAGCATGAAAAACTGTATTATGCCTTTGGGCCTGCAAATGAGGTCAAATGTATCAAAGACATTTTCTAAGAAGAGAAGCTCCATCCATGTTTTGACATGTACTTGATATTCTTTAATTTGTCTTTGGATATGGGTGTGGAAAGAAGGCAGAGATGTTTCAAAGGTACGTAATTTGATTAATTTATACTCTGATTTAGCCCCCTTGTGGAGGAAAGGCGGCATAACGGTTCCTCATAAATGAACTAATACCCTTTCAAAAAGAATGAATGTAGACAAGGCAATGCTATGCCTTATTTGATTGTCATGTACACATAAAAATAGCTCTTAAACCACATGGATCATGAAATAAGGTGCTCTTTTCCTATTATTTATAAACATAGGCAGAATATCCATAGTCAAGGATAGCTCTTCTAAAAATGTTCACACTTTAGATCTATTTCATCATCTATCCGGTGAATAAGGATAACCACACTCCCAAATGGTACCAGCATCCTAACATGTGGCAATCATAGCCAAATTCAAATGACAGGGAAGTTTCCTGTAAGAACTAATGCTGTAATGGGAATGCTAGCAAGGTAGAGACCCTCTAACTAATTCCCATGCCCACAAAACTGCCAGTGGCCCATTTTTCAATCACATCACACATTAGAGCCCTCCAAAAGCACTTGGACAAAGAGGTGGTTAGTTCTGCAGCCTAGATGAGCAGCTAAGATGACAGCTTTTCATAATGGAACTTAAAAGTACTCCATCCTGATAGCACTTCCAGAGATAACAGAAAGGTTGTAAACCAATTATAGCAGTGATGCAACATCAGTTCCATAATGAGAATGACAATCCCCTGGACAGAACATCCATATTTATTAGGCAACTTGGGCTGAAAATCAAGGGAAGGTAAGGCCATGTAAAAAGTGTTCTCAAATTGATTTGCTGACAAGCCCACTTCACCAAAAAAGACTTATTAGTCTTCCCCAATACTCTCTATGTGTCTTTACCAAAGACATTCCTACAGCTGTACTAATGGAGATGGAAAACACAACATTATAAAACTTGAAGCTTGAAAGTGGAGAGATTCTTCAGGTCACAATACCATGAAGAACCTGTCCAGAATCATTATTCTCTACCTTGAAGTGCTATCCTTGGCAAAAGCTGCTTCAGAAAAATGTCTGTGGTAACTGAGATTTTCAATCCATGACCTGCTACACTCTATACATCAGGTTCTTTAAATATTAGCTCCATCTATTTAGGAGTAAAAACAGCTTCATCTGGACCCAAGGTAGATGACATATCACTGGGTATATATACACTGATGTCTCCAGGTCCAAACTTCAGATGCGAACTAAGATCTCGAAAGCACAGCGCTGACAGAAGTTGTTAGGAAAGCACAAAAGATCATGTCATCAAATTCTAAGTCTTTGGGAACATCTAGTTAGACGGTAGTCCTAATCTTGAACCAAGCAAATTCCTTCTTCTCAAGCCAACGTCCCCTCAGTGCTTCACTTCAGTTTTTCTAGCTTTCCTTATGTGACTGATGACTGTCATTTGATCCGTGTTAGGGCTGATCATGCCATTCAAACTTCCTCCTCCAAAAAGCACATAGACTTCCCAGGGAAAAGTGGAGCAGGGGAGTTAAATCAACTTGAGTTAAAACCTCAGGTTGCAAGCTTCCCAGCTATGGAAACTTGAGCCACTTAACCTACTCCAAGATGGGGTATCCTCTTAAGGAGATTATTCTATCCCCCTTAAGGTTGTAAGAATCAAATGAGAATGTATAGAAAGCACTCACTCAGGACCTAACTCACAAAAGGGGCTGAAATCATGGTAGTTCCTTCTTACAGTACATTCAAAGCCAAAGTGATAACCCTAATTTGGAACAGGAAATAGGTCAAGGACAAAGCTGATCAAGTCTCCCAAACAAAGATAATTCTTTTTTTTTTTTTTTAAGATTTTTTTTTTTTTCCAACGTTTATTTATTTTTGGGACAGAGAGAGACAGAGCATGAACGGGGGTGGGGCAGAGAGAGAGGGAGACACAGAATCGGAAACAGGCTCCAGGCTCTGAGCCATCAGCCCAGAGCCTGAAGCGGGGCTCGAACCCACGGACCGCGAGATCGTGACCTGGCTGAAGTCGGATGCTTAACCGACTGCGCCACCCAGGCGCCCTTTTTTTTTTTTTTTTTAAACAAAGATAATTCTTGTCCTCAACAAAAACCTTCCAGAAATAGTAGTTTGACTTTCACTGTCCACTTACAGATTATTTCAACAGAAATAATTCAAGTAAACCAAATACAAGGGGAGGAATTTACTGACACGAACTGGTAAGGGAGATATTTGACAGATTGCGTGTCCTTTAAAATTACACCGTAACTGTATATATCCTCAGCTTGTGTGAATATCTGGAGCAGACAAGCTCCTACTAGAAAAGGAGAGCCAAGTAGCTTCTTTCTATTACTTTGGTGAATGGCAGTTAGGAAGAAAGAAGGGACGTACAAGGGAAGGCCCATATTCAATAACATCTACTGCACACAATTTCTAAACATTCTCATTTTAAAATCAAAAGACACTAAAAAAGGCTAAGACTAAAAATCATTTGTACCTTGCTATAAATTGTCTTAATCAGATAACTTTCCTTCTTAATAGGCAAAACTAAGCTGGAGGATTAGATGTTCTAATTCAGTATAAGGAGTTGATCATGGGAACATGGTTGGGCTTGGGTAGGACACTGATTTTTGACTAAAAAAGCAAAAAAGAGAAGACCAGTTACCTGGAGGACCTGAAAAGCAAAATAAATACCGTACGGGACACAGCACTTAACAAAATTGCAAAACTGTCTGGAGTTAACTATCATTTCACGGAGTCACTACAAGTCATTTTCCATACTTGGCCTCCAAGGAAATGTCACCATTTAAAATGATAGGCAACCATCACTGTGAATCCAAAGAGGCTTTTTGCCCAGGGAATCTCTGTGCATGTCAGACATGTAAAACTTCCTGAGTACTGAATGAACAAAGGGTTGAATAATGGCTGAGAGCAGAATGTCATCTCAAGATCTTCTAAAAGGTTTTTCTTTATGTTAATATTTTATAAGCATCTTCATTAGTTGCTTAAGCTACTCGATTGTCAGTCACTCATTGTCAGTAGGTGCTCTCTGCATTGACTGCAAAAATGACATCTCTTAAAGCATAAATTTCCAGAACACTAAATTTGTAGTGGTTCTAACTGCTCTGTATGTAGACAGTTCTTAATGCCTGTCCAGTTTTAAAATGTTAATTGACCCTGATAACATGCCAGAAACTATATGACAAAGGCCCATCTAGTTACTAGTCTTATCACCCTACTGCTTTATTCATTTCCCCTACACTGTTTCACCAGCCCAGGATGTGCTGTTATCTACTGCTAACTCCCAGCACATCCCCACCAAAAAGCGATTCCCCTTTGTTCCATGGAATCTCCATTCCATCACAAACTCCCTTCTATCATCCGACTCTTTTTGGAATTCTCTTTCAACCTCCTCATCTTAACAATCAGCTTACCTTGGAGGACACTACTTTTCTCCACAGATGTTTTTTAGTATAAATCACAGACCAAGAGTCATTCTCTAGGGCTTTTTTTTTTATGTCTAATTTGTTTATTTTTTTTAAATATGAAATTTATTGTCAAATTGGTTTCCATACAACACCCAGTGCTCATCCCAACAGGTGCCCTCCTCAATACCCATCCGCCATCAACCCTCAGTTTGTTCTCAGTTTTTAAGTCTCTTATGTTTTGGCTCCCTCCCTCTCTAACCTCTTTTTTTTTTTTCCTTCCCCTCCCCCATGGTCTTCTGTTAAGTTTCTCAGGATCCACGTAAGAGTGAAAACATATGGTATCTGTCTTTCTCTGTATGACTTATTTCACTTAGCATAACACTCCAGTTCCATCCACGTTGCTACAAAAGGCCATATTTCATTCTTTCTCATTACCACATAGTATTCCATTGTATATGTAAACCACAATTTCTTTATCCATTCATCAGTTGATGGACATTTAGGCTCTTTCCATAATTTGGATATTGTTGAAAGTGCTGCCATAAACATTGGGTACAAGTGCCCCTATGCATCAGCAGTCCTGTATCCCTTGGGTAAATTCCTAACAGTGCTATTGCCGGGTCACAGGGTAGATCTATTTTTAATTTTTCTCTAGGCCTTTATTGCTATTTTTAAACATTTTTTCTCCTACATCCATTAAGAAAAAAAATCTCCTTACTTTTGAACCTCACTTTATCCAACTCTACCTTTCTGTAATCTTCCAAGTGTCTTTCCTATAGTATTTTTTTCACATTTAAATATCTGGCTTAGTTTTTAATCTCCAACTGTTAATCTTTAAAATTTTTAACATTTAATCTACCTGTCAACATCCTTTGTGAGGTAAAAGTACAGGTGGGCAACTTACTCTATCTTTTTACCTTTGACCTCTCCAATGCTAACAATCCCATCCCCACTCTACTTCATTCATGCCCACCCATGACACACCCTGGATACAGTCGTCACCTGTAACTACGTCCAAAAGCCCGCGCTCTGTGATAACAACTCTCTGCTCTTCTTTTGTGTGTGTGTGATGACAACTTTCCCCATATTTCTATTCCTTGGAGTTTTCTAGTTTCCTTACCTCATTAATGGCCCCTTATTCATTTATTTTCCTTTCTTAGACTCACCGACCTACTGACTACTTACTTAAGAGTGCTCACCAACACCTTGAAGATATTTTATATGACCTAGAAATCTAGAGGCATGGATCAATTTTATAATCTATCTTCACTGCTCCTATATCTAATCTGATGGGAGTGAGGTGGGAAGAATCTAAACATGCAGATCTTGTATAACAAACAGACTGTTTTAAGACTGTTTTTGAAACTAGCTAGGAACTTTCCCAGTTTATCTTGTCAACTCCTCTCCCGTTGTTTGTTGATCTTCTTAAGCCTCCAAGCTAACTTCCACTCACTTTACACTTAGTAGATGATGCTCTCATCCCAGAGAAAAGACAGGCTATCAGACATGAACCCTTTCAAAATCTGGTCCCCTTATCCCATCTAAAAACAAAACCTGTGTCCTCATTTTCTCTTCTTCCAAGTGTCAAAATCTCCCAAACTTGTATCATCCAGTTTTCTTCTACTGCAGAAAAATGCCAAGTGACTAACCCATAGCAGATTAGCTACCTCCAACTTCTCACTAACATGTCACCAAAACTATCTATCAAAAGACACGAGAGGCACCTGGGTGGCTCAGCTGGTTGAGCATCCAACATCAGCTCAGGACATGATCTCACAGTTTGTGAGTTCTAGCCCCATATCAGGCTTGCTGCTATCAGCCCAGAGCCCGCTTTGGATATTCTGTTCCCTTCTCTCTCTGTCCCTCCCCTAATCCTGCTCCTACCCTCACTCTCAAAAATAAATAAAACATTAAAAAAAATTTTTTTTTAAGACACCAATAACCTCCTAGCTGTTAAATGCAACCAGATTGGATAATTAATTTTTACCTTATTTTACTTTTCTGTTGCATGGGAAATTTATGACCATTTCATCCCTTAGGACCCAGTGACCATTCTAAGTTAATCCCCATTGGTTACCCTTGCTCTTCCTACATCTAAATGCTGGATCACTTCACTACTCAGGCCTCATTCACTTGTCCACTCGTCTCTGTAAGTGATCTTGTACACTTTCATGATCTTAAATATCACATACAAAACTCAGAATTATGGAGTGCCTGGGTGGCTCAGTCAGTTGAGTGTCCAACTCTAGATTTCAGCTCGGGTCATGATACCAGCATTGTGGGATTGAGGCCCATATCAGGCTCCACACCGAGCATGAAGCCTGCTTAAGATTCATTCTCCCTCTCTCTCCCTCTGACCCTCTCCCCAATTCGTGGTCTCGTTCTATAAATAAATAAATACATAAATACATACATACATACATACATACATACATACAGAAATACAAAAGTAAAACACAGAATTAAATTATCTTTATCTTGCCTGGATCTTTCCATTGAGTTCAGATATTATTATCCAACCGACTGATAAAAATGTCCATGTAAATGTTACAAAGTCACTATAAACTCAACTGATGGAAAACTCAACTCGTTAACGCTCTTCCCCCCAGATTTCCCACATAATGTGAGGGCACCATTCATTTACTACAGCTCTCACCCTCATTCCTTACATCCTTTACTTCTTGCATTGGGTCCTGCTGGGTTTACTTCTTTAATATCTATGCAATTGTCTCTTCAACTCACTCAGTCCAGTGAACCCTTCCTTGGTATCACTGTAATAGCCTTCCTACCATTCTCTTTGCTCTATCTAGCTTCACTCTTCTTCCCTGCCACAAACACATATTCTAAAAAACTTGTCCTCCCACACAGTGACCCAAATGATCTTTCTAAACTGCAAGTCTGATCATATCACCATATGTATGAAAACCTTTCAATGGACCCGTTACCAAAAGCTAGAGCTGAAATTTCTCACTACAGCACTCAAATCCTTTACCTCTTTATGACTGACCCAAGTTTATTTTCCCAGCCTACCTATTTCTCATCGCATTTTATTTCACATCTTACTCTTTGTACCAACACTTCTCAATATGTATATGATTTGCCTGGAGGAATTCTCATGTTGTACTACTGTTTTTAATGGCCACCCAGTCTATAAGATTGTCAGCTCCTTGAAGGCAGAAACCATGTCCTATATCTGTGTCCTCACAATCAAGACCCCACAAGAAATTTAATAGATGTTGCTGACTGATGAAATGTCTCAAAAAAAAAGTTATCCTGAACTATCTTTGTCATTGTTTAAATTAAAAAAAATCTTTCTAGGAAAACTTTCATTTTCATCACAATTTTGTAGCAACTGAAGGTGTGCTTCCTAACTTCTAGTACATCCCTCTCTCTCTCCTCCTGATTGGATAATAAGGAGGATCCAGAGAGCATCATGAGTAAAGAATGACTCTACAATAAGCAGAAAAATGGTTCTGATTAGTGTGAGTACATATTTTAAGTCTCCATCAACACACAGCAGAGCTCAGACAAAGCACAAACCTTCCACACAGCGACAGCCCTCTTGTAGCACCCGTGCATACATGTCCACTTTGGACTGGGAAAGGAGCTGGTCCCCCGTCAGGTATGTGTTGTGAGAGGAAGCGATGTAGTAGTTGCACAGAGGCTGATCCATGTCCTGGTACACTTCATGGTGCAATGGATTAAATATGTCACAAGCAGGACTACGCATGAAGTTCGTGAACCCTTTGGAAGAAAGAGAGAGTAAAGTACTTTAGCTTTCAAAGTGTACTTAACTGACTCCATCAGGGACAACAGAGATCAAAGTATGTTCATAGCAGGGCAGCTGGGTGGCTCAGTTGGTTAAGCGTCCAACTTTGGCTCAGGTCACGATCTCATGGTTCATGAGTTCAGACCCCACGTCAGGCTCTGTGCTCAGAGCCTGGAGCCTGCTTCAGATTCTGTGTCTCCCTCTGTCTTTGCCCCTTCCCCACTCATGCTCTATTTCTCTCTCAAAAAATAAACATTGGGGCGCCTGGGTGGTGCAGTCGGTTAAGCGTCCGACTTCAGCCAGGTCACGATCTCACGATCTCACGGTCCGTGAGTTCGAGCCCCGCGTCAGGCTCTGGGCTGATGGCTCGGAGCCTGGAGCCTGTTTCCGATTCTGTGTCTCCCTCTCTCTCTGCCCCTCCCCCGTTCATGCTCTGTCTCTCTCTGTCCCAAAAATAAATAAACGTTGAAAAAAAAAAAATTTAAAAAAATAAAAAAAAAAAAATAAACATTAAAAAATCAGTTCAGGCTCTGTGCTGACAGCTCAGAGCCTAGAGCCTGCTTTGGATTCTGGGTCTCTCTCTCTCTCTCTCTCTCTCTCTCTCCCTCCCCCTCTCCCCACTTCACACTCTGTCTCTCTCTTTCTCTGTCAAAAATCAATAAACATTAAAAAAATTTTTTTAATTAAAGTATGTTTTAATGATTATCTTACTTACTTACACTCAGGACAGGTACTATGAGGAATACTAAGGCAATGAGAGATTTGTTTCAGGTCAAATAGTGTTAAAAACTGAAACATGAATGGGGAATAGCAATGTGAACATAAACTACAGAAAAATAAGTAGGCTTTTCAAGAATTGTGATTGAGTATGAGAGAGGGCTTACTCCAAAGCCATTCAATAGCTACTGAACTCAAGCTAGGATTATGCAGCATGATCTAATGGGTTACTGATGCAGTGTTAAAGCAATTTTTACACAAAGTGATACACTGTGCAACCATCAATTTGATAAGTTATTCATTTAAAAAACAGTACTGTTAGTGCCATGGGTGAAGTAATAGGTCAAAAGTTAGGCACAGCCTAAATTGAGAGTGTGGTTATTTGACTTTGAAATTGGTTTGGGAAGATGCTGCTAATAGCTAGCACATTTGTAACTTTAAAATAATGTTTAAAGATTATGCAGAAATACAGACAACAAAGTGATGGTTGCCAGAGGGGAGGGGGATGAGGGGTTGGACAAAATGGGTGAAGGGGAGAGGGAGGTCCAGGCTTCCAGTTATGGAATTAACAAGTCATAGGAATAAAAGCGCAGCTTAAGGATTAGAGTCAATGATATTGTAATAGCGACGTAATAAGACAGACAGTAGCTACACATAGCATAAGCTATACATTTGTAAAATCACTAAGATATACCCCCAGAACTAGTGTAGCACTGTGTATCAGCTATACTCAAACAAACAATTTTGTAGAAAACCCGATCAGTTTTTCTACAGTTTTTCAAAACATAATACCTAGGTAGAAGAGGCATTCGTTAATACATGAATAAATACTTGAATGACCACAAGTACTTAAGTGGAATGACATCGCAATTTATCAGGTTAAATTGCTTCAAGTCTTCAAGAAACTGTATCTGTATCTGTAAATATCCTCTGAGACTCTGGAGAATTTCTTCATGCCTATCTTTATGACAATAATGTAGAAATCATGTTTAATTCCATTTTGGGGGGCCCACCAAGCAAAACATTCATTTCTTGGTAAAGAAAAGGCCCAAATTAGTTTATCTTCTCTAGGTGTTTTAAAATGGTTCTTAATATATATAAGTTTTAAATTATTCCTTTCTTTTAATTACCCTCCACCGCAGGAAGTAAACATGTGGTACCAAACCTCCTTGTCCACACTGAGCCTGAAACCAGTGTGTGTGTGTGTGGGGGGGGGGGGGGGGGGGGGGGGGGGGGGGGGGAGGGCAGGAATCAAAACCAGTTAGATAAACCATGGCTTTGGATGGTCTTGAGGGCAATGGGGGGCCTTGGCGGTCCTTCATTAGATTATTGGTTCTGCCTGAAATTTGTTCTTCTCTTGGGTAGCAGCCTGAAATTTATTTCCCCACGTATTTTAAGTATATATAACTTACACATACATGTAGCTATATTCACATTTATGTGCAAGATCCTTGAAGCTACATTCTAAGTATATAACTCTGGGCAAATTACTTAATTTCTTTGAGAGCTTCACTTTCCTCAACTATATAATGAAGTAGTTGTATTAACAAAATTTGTGGCTCCAACAATATCTCCACTGCTACCAACTAGGTAAAAACAAGTTCATTGCCAAGATTTTTAAAGAAACCTGTACTTTCAAAGTCACTAATGTCATAGATTAGTTATTTGAAGACCAAATTTCCTTTTTTGAAATCACCAGGTTGAATCTCTTTCCAAAATTTGCCATTTGAGAGAAGTCCAAATATTTCTTGGCATCTATCACCCACATGGTGGCATCAGGTTGACTTGCTTAGAGTAGAACATGCATATGATCATTGCCAAAGTAAGAGAAATAGCAATATCATGGCATCTGTTTTATAGGAAAATATGTTGTTTTGTGAGTTTTATTTGAATCACCTGTAATCCATGAATATCTCCTGACTTCTTTTACTAAAAATTTTGCTAGAATTTAACTTAGCAAACTGAACTGAAAAATGAGAAATTAAGAAATTAGTTATTTTACCTTCTATGCCAAGAACATTTTTCGTCTTATTTTCTTCTGAAACTTCAAATTTCCTTATGATGTCAAGACAATAGTCTGTTGTCACATTGTTCATCTAAACAAAACAAAACATTAGTAGAGTACCTGCAATTCCATGAGATGTTTTCTTCTATGCTAAAAAGGCACATTGCTTAAGCATTCATGATATAGTGCAAAGTGATTTAATGAGCATTATTTGAGATTACTAGTGTCATAGCAACTTTATCTTTAGAAAATGATCTGAATCTTACCATGTTACCCTTCAGATTTAATCAGTGAAAACATCCCTTCAAGTAATAGACAAATGTATTCCATGAAGCAAAATTAATAAAATTAAATCAATAATCAGTGCAAATCCACTGTTAAAATCTACTTACTATAAGCTAGTAGCTATTTGCAAATTAATGTTTTCTACACAAACACTACAGTTTGCTAATCATAAATACATACAGAAAGAAAATGATCCCCTGACAAAACAGGATGTTCTAGGTAAATCCACTCATGGGTGTACATATCTACAGATCTTTCCACTGAATCACAAGAGCAATCTGCCATGGTGATTCAAGATCACAAAGGTTGGCAAGAGAAAATAAAACCAAAAACCTAGATAAAGCAGCTAGCATAACAAAGTACTCTGGAGTTAGATGGCTTTTGTCCCAATTAGCCATCTCATATTATTTACAGAGGGATCTTGAACTACTCACTTACCTTCTCTGTGGCTACCTTATAAGGTAGTTGTGAAAATGAAATGCATTACTATTAACATGTGACATCAAAGAAGCAGTGCATGCTATTATTATTGAGGCATTCTCAAGGTTGCTGCATGAACACACATACTTAGTGTCACTGGGCAAAGTACACTCTTCAGGAATAATTAATTAAATAGCAACATGAAGGGTGTGATCTTTTGATCAAAATTCCATTGAGTCCCACAGTCTAACAGTGACATTTAAAAATACTAATGAACAGTGATAGAGAAAACTAATCTTATGAGCCACTTCTCAATATTTCTCAAATATTCTATTATCTCTTAGGTTTGATGCTTATGTTTTAGTGAAATCTCATTTGTCTAAACAGTTTAAAAAAATTTTTTTAATATTTATTCATTTTTTTGAGAGACAGAGAGTACAAGCAGGGGAGGGGAAGAGAGAAGGGGAAACACAGAATCCAAAGCAGGCTCCAGGCTCTGAGCTGTCAGCACAGAGCCCGACGCGGGGCTTGAACTCATGAAACGCGAGATCATGACCTGGGATGAAGTTGGACGCCTAACCGACTGAGCCACCCAGGTGCCCCTGTCTAAACAGTTTAAACAGCACTTAAACCTTCTGCAGGGGAACAAAAGCTTTGTTTTGCAGTTTTTTTGTTTTGTTTTGCTGGCTTGAAATAGCATAGAATGCTTCCCCTCCCCCCCCCCCAAACTAGCTGCACAATGGCTGATGCATCCATTGAGCAAATTTTACAATCCTTCCTACATTCAGAGGCTTATATTAACAGACAACACCAGAAAATACCACAAAATAAATGAAATCATGATACCTGTAAAAATTCTATTGACCGAGTCAGGCTTTAAGCAGCTCATTAATTTGTCTGCTATATACTATCACGTGCAATCTGAAAAATAAGTAATTTCTCACAAAATTTTATAAAATTGGGGTGCCTGGTTATTTCAGTTGGTTAAGCGTCTGACTTCAGCTCAAGTCATGATCTCACAGTTTGTGGGTTGGAGCCCCGCGCCAGACTCTGTGCTGACAGCCCGGAGCCTGGAGCCTGCTTCAGATTCTGTGTCTCCCTCTCTCTCTGTCCCTCCCCTACTTACTTGTTCTCTCTCTTTCTCTCAAAAATAAATAAGTAAACATTTTAAAAAATTGATAAAAAAAATAAAATAAAATTCACGTGCCATGGGAAGCCTGAGTTTACACTGCAATTATTTGGTTTATGAGGCTGTTTGTTCAGAGATGTAGGGGCCTTGCCCTAGACTTAGGTCTACCAGGAGCCCATGTTTGATGTAACAAACATCAAAAATATCACCCTGGATAAAACTAATTGCAGTTGAGCAGAGAACATGTTATTGGTTCAAGATACAAAGCAGAACATGTTAGCAAAAAGCATCCTATTCGAGAAGTATTCAGTAAAGTGATGAAAATATCAGTAGGCATTCTAGGAAGCTCACAATTTTCTGGGCATTATATAACAATAAATGGGAAATAATCCACTTCCTATCAAAATTCAAGTATTAAGGATTAACTCAGTGAAATACAGTAAAACCCCATAATAATGAGAAATGAAATGTACATGTCAATCAGTTTCCCTCCTTCCCCCAACTCCTGGTCTAATTTAAATAACTCCCAATAGCAAAATCCGGCATTTCACAAAACTGAATTTTTCGGACCTTACTTAAAAAGCCATTGTGAAATTCTACTGTATGAAAGAAGGTTCGACATAGGTTAATGCTCTTTACTGTTTCTTTCCCCTTTGTTTTTCTCCCGATACCACATAGCTAATAAGGTGAAACGGAAAAGAACTTCTCCCTACTCTACTCCTATTTCTCATGAAGCTTATTTGAAAGTTCTGTTTGCTATCAGTATCTGAGCCACTTGCTGTTTCCAACATGAAGGACTCTTCTTACTATACCAGGCAAGTGTTGCTAAGACTGCTTTAAAAATCCTGGATTTAATAATGATTCTTTACATTTAAATAATGTAGTCAATGCTGTGCAGTTTATAAAGAGCTTTTACACATAAAATCTTAAATAGTTCTTACAACAGTCTCATAAACTTGGTGTTTTTATTCCCATTTTAAAATATGCAAATCTATGCTAGAAAAGGTTCACTATCTCAAAGTCACAAAACTAACAGGAGGCAAAATCAAGGTTCAAATTTCATTCTTCTGACTTCAAATCCAAAGCCTTTACTTTTACATTATACCTATTGTCTGGGTGTTTTTCTTCATCTCTACTGAAAAATCGAAACGCTTACTTTCAAAACGGTTTGTTTTTTTCAATATAGCTGAAACTCCTGAATCTTCTTATTTTTTGAGATGCTTTAAACTGTCAAGTCAGTTACTATAATTTGACTTCCTTGATTATTCCAGGTTGGACTCCATTCTCTTGTCCCAGTTTGCTATAATACTTTAATCTCAACCAAAAAAGACTAACTGGCCCTCATATTAAAGGTCAATCCACTTCAGGTGGACTAGTTGTAGAAACCAAAGTCATAGATCCCTATATAACAGTAGTATTCTGATACTAACATTTTATCCTCAGACTTCTTATAAGTTATCTGGCAAAGCTCTGACAGTGAGTATGAATTTCAAAACAAAGCCAGAAGTAAATAATTATATTTCTTATAGCTATGATTCCCAAAGCACACCAAATCCAAAATCATAGTATAATTTGCACAGAATTTTAATATTGCTAAACTCTTTTCATTTTTATCAAAGTAATATATATTCATAATTAAGTAAATCAAAACCAAGAAGCTTATGATTGAAAGCAGAATTTCCCCTCCTATATGGATAATCACTCTCCAAAAAAAAATAATGTCAACATTTCTAGATATTTCTGTTGGAAGGAGTCTTTATATTCCAAATTGTTATGTTAATGATGCTATTTTTATACACCTTTTATACACCTTTATACACCTTAAGCATTATCTATGGATGTTTTTATTGTGTTGGATAAAAAATTTAGCTTGTTTGAGCCAGCAAAACTAACTTTTTCCCTCTACCCCTCCACCTAGGATAGTTATATCTTAATTTTTTAATTTAATTGCTATTCAGTGTTGAATTATTCTGATTATGCAAGTGTTGGACATTGAGTCTATTGAATAATGACTGTGTTTCTTGAACATTTTTTGTTTTCAGTTTGTTAATTGCTGCTATTTCTACCCATTTGGTTAATTTTTAGTGTCCTCTCATAAATTCTTCCTCATGATGCTAATGGTGTCTCGATTACCAAGACAACAAACAATCCATGAATTCCAATTTTTTATCCCCTATAAGGGTCGTCCTTCTTCCAGATTGGTGGGATTCAGCACTTTATTCAGGGTTTGTTCTGACTTCATTCTGTCATTCTCATCAGAGAGTACTCAGAAAGTAAATTATTTATTTCTCGCTTGTATTTCTGTGTTCTTCCATGTGTGTTTTACTCTGCACGCACGTTCAGTTGACAGATTCACCAGGTAGAAAATTCTGAGTCAGAAATCATTGCTCCCATGTTTTTGGTTTCCAGAGGTGCTGTTGAGAAGTCTGATGCCATAGTGAATCTACTCCTTTTACAGGACCTGCCTTTGCTCATTAATCGGATCAGCGCTTTTTCCCCTCTCTCTTTCTGCAAACTTTTAGGGTTTTACTCTACCCTTGGCTTTGTGAAATTTCATTATCATTGGTCTCTTTTTACATCCAGTGTGCTTGGCACTGAGTGGCCCTGCTAGTCTAGAGAGTTCTACCTTTCCATGCTAGTCATTTTTTGTATTATTTATTTTATAATCTCCCTTCTATTTGTTCTTATCTTTTTTCTGTACCTCTGATTATTCAGAGTGGGCTTTCTGAATCAATCCACTAATTTCCTTATCTTTTCTTTCTACTTTTCATTTCTTTGTGTTTGTTCTATTTTATGGGCAATGTTCTCTTTATCTTCTAAGCCACTTATTGAGTTTATTTCTCTGCTCTTTTTTTCCTCAGAACCATCTTTTCCCACAGCATACTGCTCTTGCTTCGTGGCTGCAATCTTCTGTTTCAGCACTCTGATGTTAAGGGTAGTTTTTAAAATTTCCTTCTCCCTGCATTGCCTCTATTTCCTCCAAGTTTCTCAATGCTATTTGTTTACCTTGGTCTCTGTATTTTATGGTCGAGGATTTCCTCAAACATGTGGTAAGCCTTGGCTATTTAAAACCCATTTTAAAATTAGCTATTGAAAAATGTATTTAAAATAAAGTCAGTAATAAATTGGTTGGAAGCTCTGTATTCACGAGCAGGCTGAGTGACTAGGGGGCTCGCTGTAGAATTCCCCGTCTGAACTATTTTATTAGATGTCTGATGCCTATATCTTCAGATTTTGGGGGTTTTCCTGGGACTGGT